CACTGACATGGGTAGCACTGGTGCATGCAGCAATGAGGACTAGCCCTCTGGTTCCCAAATTGGTAAGAAGCTGGGCAATGCTCTGGCCTCTGACTACATGCTTAAAGGAGCCTGAGAACACATATGTGTCTGTGTGTGTGTGTGTTTGTGTGTGCATGCGAAGGCAGTTCACAGGCACATGTGCACTCGAGTGTGTGCATGTGTATGTTGATGTGTATGTATGAGCACCTCTGTCTGTGTTTGTGTGTGCATAAGTCTATGTGGGCATTTGTAAATAATGGGAGGAGCATGTAGCTGACTCCATTGAAGTCTGTGTGGGCCTACATGTGAGCGTGCATTTGTGCACATGTGAGTGTGCCGTGATTGAACTCGAGTGTGCAGGTGTCTGATGACATGTATGTGAGTGTGCCCATATGTACCTTTTCATCCTGTGCACATATATGCACATGTGTGCGTGCCCATATGCTGATGTGCCCATGTGTGTACTTATGTCCGTGTGTGTGGATGGTGCAGTGAGATGTGCTGAGCCACAGTGGAGCAGCAGGTGAAGGTCCCTGTCTCAGGAAGGCCCAGGGAGTGTGAGGGGCCCCAGTCATCAGGGCTCCTGGCTTCCAGCTGGGTCCCTCCGTCCCTCCCAGGCGTGGTTGTGGGAACACTTGGGCCTCCTTTGGGTTCCGGGAAACCGGGGCTGTGTGGGCCCCACTGCCGAATGTGGCAGTGGTGCAATCTGCCAGCTGAGCCCCTTCCGGAGCTGTGGGTTCCTCTGGGCGTGGGGAAGCTGCCCTTTGTGACCTCCCTTGACAGCTTTGGTGCCTCCAGGAGGGCAGGACACACCTCCCGGCCCTGCAGCCTCACCCACAGGAAACTCTGGTTGGGGGCAGGCGAGGAGGGAGGTGCCATGCCCGGTGCCCCGCCCTGTGCTGTGGCCTCTGACCCTGTAGCAGCACCACGGCTGTGGCCCTCTTTCTTACAGCCCGGGGGACATCGCTGGGAACCTGGAGCCCTGAAGCCACCACCATGTTTGGCAGGAAACGCAGCGTCTCCTTTGGGGGCTTCGGATGGTGGGTGACAGAGGAAAGGGCAGTTGAAAGGTTGGGAGTGAACTTGAAGGTGGAGTGCTATTGAGCGCCTTGGCTGCCTATGAGGAACAGGGGATCAGGTTGTGCCTGAGACCTGCATCTGCAGGGGGCACTTTCAGAAGTCTGGGTGGAATAGGCATGGATGATCTTGGAGGCATCAGAGACTGTAAGCTTTTCCTCCCTGTCCCAGGGGCACACTCTGCCGGGGATCCAGGTCAGAGCTGGCCATCAGCTTGGGTGTGTGACTAGTTGAACATGCATGTCTCTGTCAGTATGTTCTCATCCATGTAGGTGCGTGTCTGTGATTATTTCTGAATGTGTGTGTGTTTGCAGTTGTGCATGTGTGACCCTGGCTGCTACTCCGTGTGGTTGTGAGTGAGGTTTGTGCCTGGCTAGATGGATGTCCCTCTGTGACCACGTGGGTACTGTGTGTTTTGGAGCAGGTGCCTGCCTGCATCTCTGGTCTCGTGTGTGTGTGTGTGTGTGTGTGTGTGTGTGCTCCTGCTGTGCTGTGTTGTAACCCCACAATAGGGCCTCCTCTGGGCTTCTTCCTCTCTGGGGGTCAGCTGTGAGAGGAGGGGACAGGCCTCGCTCCCCTGACTCTCACTCCATCTAACCTAAGAAGCCAGTCTGTGTCCAGTCTCCTGCCTGAACACCTTTTGCCTTTAAACTTTTGTCTGGAACATGAGAGCTTCACTTTCCTTTCCAGAGGGCCAGAAAATGGGGAGACTGAGGTCAAAGGCTTGTCTCTGGTTACCAGCTGCTGACAGCTTCTCCTCAGCTGGGGAAAAGAGCCTAGTGGTTTTTGTTATCAGTTTCCTTTCAGCTTCTGGTCCTGGGGGAGGGTGCTAGGGCAGGGTGACTGGGGTGTCCTGGTGGAGAAGATGGTGGGGAGGCACAGGAGGGCTGAGAAGGGTTGGACTCTATCCCCCTAATTAATTACATGCTTCCATATATGTGTGGCTTTTTATTTCCCTTTCACCATCCATCCTCCTGCAGGCAGGGGTTATGGGCATCCATGTTTGGCAGATGGGACAGGAGGATGAGATGGGTGGTGCAGTGTGGCTTGCCTGCTCATGGGTTCTCCTTGATACCTCGACCAAAGGCTGTGGTCCTGATGGTGGGGTCTGGGTTTGAATCACACAGTCTGCTTCCTGCTCTGGGATGGATGTGGGAGGCTGGGCTGGGATTCCTGCCTGGGCAATGGAATCATGTCTTCCCAGGCCCAACATTCTTTGCAAGGTGTGACACACACAGTGGGACTGTCATTGGAAAGCTCCCTTTGCAAGATTCAGGTCTCAGTCTGGTTTTGTCCCAAGTGAATCCCACATTCCTATGTTGCAGTGCTGGGCATTGAGACCCAGCGTTCTAGAGTCCTGAGGCAAATCTCAGCCTGTGGTATGAACTTGGCTAGGTGAGGGGGAGATATGAATATGGCCACCCAGGGCTGCCTTGAAGGCAAAGAGGAAGGTTGGGGAAGAGACCTAGCATGTCCAGGAGACCCCACGTGCTGATTACAGTGACTACTAGGCTGGGTTCCATGAGGGTGGACCCAATTCCATCTTATTCATGGTCTCTTGGACACTTGGCACGGCACATCTGCTCAGTAAGTGCTTGTGAGCTGACTAGGTGAGATGTTTTTGCATGCTTTAGGTGGTGGGTTGGGGCCCACTAAGTCTGAGGGGATGGTGGGGCCTCCTGATGAGGTGGAAGGGTAGGGCAGCAGTGTGGGCATCGCCTAAGGATGATGGTCACCTAAGAGGGGATGTCACAGCTTTTGGGGAGCTAATTACAGATTCTTGGAGTTCTGGTCCCTCTAGACAGTGAAGAGAATCTTGGGGGCATGTTTTAAAAGTTCCATCCATCACCAGTCCATAGCCATTGGCCTCAGGCAGAATTAATTGTGAGAGTGAGTCAGTGGAGGGAGGAGGGTTAGGGACTTGGCTTCCTTCCCCAAAGCCGGTGCCCCATCTCCTCTCCTAGCCCTGCCCAAACCACACGCCCTGCTGTTCTGGGGCCACACATCAGCGTGGGAACCCTGGTGGACAGACTGTTGCCAGATAGACTAGGTTGTGGGCTCAGGGATAGGGCCTGCTGTGGCCCTGAGAGCTGGTGGGCAGCAGAGGTCAGGCTGACCAGACAGAAGCCAGGAGGGCACACACAAGGAGTCCAAGATCTTGTACTGGCTCCACTTTGACTATTGAGGAACTTCAGTGGGACACTTCCTCTCTTTGGGTCTCAGTTTCCCCATGTGTCAGTGAAGATTTCTTCCTTCCCCACAGCACAGGGCTGTTGTAAAAATTAAACGAGAGGGGCTGGGGTGGTGGCTCAGTGGTAGAGCGCTTGCCTTACATGTGTGAGGCACTGGTTCGATCCTCAGCACCACGTAAAAATATATAAATGAAATAAAGATATTATGTCTATATATAACCAAAAAATTATATGTATAAAATAACTTCAACCCTGCACAGATTTTATATATATATATATATATATATATATATATATATATATAAAAGACAAAACATAAGATGTGAGAGCTTATTATTAGGGTGGTGATTGGGTAATTATGGGAGGAATATTCCAGTAGGTGTGGGGTTCTGACTCCTGGGCAGATCTGGGATCTGGAAGATTAAATGGGAGAGGAAGAGGTCTTCATCCAAGAGGATGGGGCCCCAGGACAGAGTGAGGGGAAGAAACTGGGAAGGACATGGGCCAAGGACACTCAGGGTGCAGATTGTTTTGCTGTTGGGCACCGAGAACAGGGTGCCGGGAGCTTATTCAGAGAGAGAGGATCCTACTCTCAGCTCAAAGTTTCTGCTAACCTGAGGTGTGTGTGGGGAACTGTGTCCTCATCGTGTGGCCTTCTCTCTTCCTCTGTCCCCCACTGGCCTCAGCAGTCATGTGTATGGGAAGCTTGAGGCAGAGCTAAGCTGGCTAGATAGTGGTACCCAAAAGAACTTTCCAGGGTTTCCTGCATTTTGGAAGTGATGGTGATTTTGGTGACTCCGATAATGATGGGCACACTTGGGGTTGCACTAATAGTGATGTAACACCGACAGTGTTGGCGATACTGATAGTGATGGTGACACAGGTGGTGACCCTGGTGATCGTGATCTGTAAGCCGCAGGAGACTCAGACAGTGGGAATATTGCCCACCTCTCTGTCTCTGGAGAGGGGGAAGGAAACTCCCTTTGCCAGCCATAAGGGCTGGCATATGCAGGGGGTAAAAATAGAAGCTCCCAGCACTGCCTCCTCTGCCAGCGAGGGCGGGCGCAGGCTGGGGTGGAGGAGCGGCTGCCAGGACAGTCTGCAGCAAACGTGATCTTCCCTGCTCCCAGCTCCAGTGCTTGATGGAACACCCTTGATGGTTCTTCCTGGAGCCTGCCATTGGGTTTTGTCCCAGGGGGGGAGTCTGCTTGCCCAGATGGACAGGCAGCTCCTAGAGCAGGAGGGTCCCAGTTACTAGAAAGTGCTCATATCTTCCCAAAGCTGAAGGCCAGGAGATGTGGATGTGTTGGTTGTCCTCATACCAATGAGGGATCCAGCTGGGTTGCACAGGTCCCTTGTGGGGATAGGAATAATAAAGGGAGAGGCTACATAAAAAAGGGCTTAAGACCCCCTTAATGCAGATATCTAGAGTCAGACTGGGTCAGGGACTTCACCTTTCTGAGCCTGTTTCTTCATTATTAAAACGGGAAGAATAAAAGTACCCATCTTATAGGGCTATGTGTAGCCCCAGGCCTTCCAAAGTACACAGTCCTCTGTCCCTGGGCTGGAGGAGAATTGGCTCTGGAGCTGTCTGCTACAGGGCCCTGCAGTCTAGTGAGCTAGGCCCACCCTGGGACCCTTCCGCTGCAGATACCGGGTGGGAGACTTCAACCCTGCACAGATTGACGCTCTGTTTTTTTCTCTTGGCAGGATCGACAAGACCATGCTGGCGAATCTGAAGGTCAAGTAAGTAGCCACTTCTTATTCTATAGAGTCAGAGATGGCAGCCAACCATGCTCTCCCAGGGCCGCGGTTCCCTCCCATGTTGTGTGAAACACAGTGGGGCTGTTGCGTGGTCCGATCCCAGTCTCAGTGGAGGTGGCTTCCCTGTTGGAGGAGGCTGGAGTAGGCTCTTGATTTCTGGATGTCCAGGGAAGGAAGAGTTGGGGTTGGAAGCAGGAGGGACCAGCGAGGTGGGAATGTGTACAGAGGGTGTGACTTTGAAGCCACACACTTAGTAGTAAGAAAGATAATTGTCCTTTTCTATCACTTTAATTTTTATGTGAAGACCCAGTTCCATCAGGATGTCTTTCAGACATTTCTCGTCTCCTTGAATAATTGTGCCACACAGTTCCAGAGCCTCATAAAACACACTTGGTGTGTGTGTGTGGGATTAGCTGGTCATTGATTCACCTATTACCTAGGCACCTCTGAGGCTTCCATGGCAGAAGTCCTGCTTGGGCTTGGGAATTATCTGCCTTGTGTTACCATGTGTCTGCTTGTCTGTCTGGGGAAGCCCTATTTAGTACCTCTCTCTCTTAGATACTCTGTCGTCTCTTCCCTTCCTTATCACCTTGTTCTTTTCTCTCTGTGTTTCTGCAAACCATCTTGTCTGCATCTTGATCCTCTATATTTTTTTTTACATATTTTATTTATTTTTTAGTTTTCGGTGGACACAACATCTTTGTTTGTATGTGGTGCTGAGGATTGAACCCGGGCCGCACGCATGCCAGGCGAGCGCGCTACCGCTTGAGCCACATCCCCAGCCCCTATTTTTTTTTTTTTTTTGAGACTTAACTCAAGTTTAAGAAACTTCTGCATCCTTCTCGTGGGGTCAATGAAGACATAATAACCACCTGCTCAAATTGAGTGAATTGAAAAAGAGGAAAATTCTAGGAGGGAAAAAGTATTGGTCACTAACTCAAAATATTCCCCTGCCACATGTGAATTAATCCTAAAAGAAAATTCCTCCAGTGAGTTGCCTTGTCAGAGGTAGCTATTCTGGGTTGTCACTGCTCATCTCTACAGAAAAGTTTCCCATTCAGTTGCCAGCACTGATTGTGTCTCCTTGGATAGAGGTCCCTGGGCAAGGTATAGCCAGTCTTGAGGGTTGACGTATAAGGGGATCAAAACAAGGGGTTTCTTACTGTGGTCTGTTTTACTCAGAAAAGTGAGGGTGGGCAGTTAGCAGGGCTTGGATGGAACATAGAATGTTCCTGCCCTTTGAGGGCTTTCAGTCTCTTTGTAGGTATTATACTAGGGGTGCTGTGGAGCAGTCCTGGAAGACTGCTGGGAGGAGGTGGCTTCTAAAGCTGCAGCATGACAGTGGGGCCCCCTGTGCCTGGGTTGGCAGGGTGTGTATATTTGTGCAGTCCAGGGTTCAGGATGCATCATCTCAGGCCAGGACGCTGAACTTCTCTGGGCTTCAGTTTCCATATCTTTTGTCCCACAGACACAGCCATGTCTTGCCTTCCAAGAGCTTCCCGGGGCATATCTGCATATTGAATGAGATGTGAGGCATGAAGTAGAGTTGCTTTGGGGTGGAGTAGAAGTGTTTCTTTGGGGGGTGGTCTTGGGAAATCCAGTGCAAATGCATAAGCATTTATTGAAGGTCTGTGTGTTTTAACTGGTAAATAAAATATTTATAACATGGAGGGAAACTAGGTATAAGGTAGAGTGAAGGGCTGGGGGCATGGGCCAGTGTTAGGTTTGGGACCCCGTCAGGTCCCTGGGCATATGGGGAACTGTCTGAAAGCTTAGGCCCTTGGGAAGTGATATTGAGATGATGGTTTGGGACAAGATGTAGGACTGAATTTCTAGTTGTAAGATTCTTTTGATTGCAAGAAACAAAAACCTGGTGTATTCTGATTAAGCTAAAGATGGATTTAAGCTGCCAGGGTGCCTTAGGGAACCCCAGGAGAGAAAGTGGAGCTACTGCCCAGGAGGGATTCAACCAGGAACTATCTAGTTCCCTATTCTATCAGAATCCAAGTTAGTTTCTTTGCAGAAATTGGTAAACCAATCCTGAAATTCATATGGAAACTCAAGGACAATCTTGAAAAAGAAGAACAAGGTTGGAGGACTGTACTCCTGATTTCAAAACTTATTGCAAAGCTGTGGATGGTGCGGTCTTGGCAACATGGTAGACATACAGATTAATGGAATAAAATTTGGAGTTCAGAAATCCTCATATATATGGTCAAATGATTTTTAACAAGAGTGCAAAGGCAATTAATGGAGAAAATAGTCTTTTCAACAATGGTGCAAGGACAACTGGACATCTATATTTAAAACCATGGAACTGGAGCCCTCTCTTGCAAACACCGTATGCAGTCAAATGGACAAAAAAACCAAGTCTAAGAGCTAAAATTATAAAACTTTTGGAAGAAAACATAGGTGTAAATCTTTGTGACCTTGGGTAACACAATAGTTTCTCAGAAAGGATCCCAATAACTTAAGCAACAACTATAAAAATAAATTAAACATCACCAAAATTAAAAAAAAAAACCACTTTTGTGCTGCAAAAGACACTACCAGGAAAGTGAAAAGACCACTCACAGAAGGGGAAAAATATTTTCAATTCACCTATCTGGTAATGAACTCATACCTATAATGTATAAAGAACACTTGCAACTCAGCAATCAAAAGACAAATAACATGATGAAAAAGCGGGCAGCTGGGTGTAGTGGTGCACACCTGTAATCCCAGCAGCTTGGGAGGCTGAGGCAAGAGGATTGCAAGTTCAAAGTCAGCCTCATCAACTCAGCAAGTTCTTAGGCAACTTAACAATTTCCTGTCTCAAAATTAAAAAAAAAAAATAGCTGGGGATGTGGCTCAGTGGTTAGGTGCTCCTGGGTTCAATCCCTGGTATAAATAAACAAACAAACAAGAAACCAGAAAAAGTGGGCATAGAGGGCTAGGGATGTAACTCTCAGTGGCAGAGCACTGAGGGCATGTGTGAGGCCTTGGGTTTGATCCCTGGCACCATGAAAACAAAAGCAAAGATTTTTATAGACATTTCTCCAAAGAAAATATGTAAGTGGGCAACAATCACATGAATAGATGCTCAAACACATTATTAGCCACCAGGGAAATGCAAATGAAAGACACAATGAGATATCACTTCACAAACAACAGGATGGCTGTAATAAAAAAGAGTCATCAGTGTTGTTGAGGATATGGGGAAATTGGAACCTTCATACACATTGATAGTGAGAATATAAAGTGATGGAATTCCTTTGGAAAACAATCTGGCAGTTCCTCAAAATGTTAAGACGTGGAGTTACCATATGGCCAGCAATGCCATTCTTAGGTCCACCAAAAAATTTGTAAACAAATATTCATAGTTATTAATAATAAGCAAAAGTAGAAATGACCCAAAAGTCTATCAACAGATGAATAGATAAACGAAATGTGGAATAATACTTGACCAAAAGAAGAAATGAAGTCCTGATGCATACATAGTGTAGCATGGATGAACTTTGAAAACTCTACATGGAAGAAGCCAGATGCCAAAAACTACATATTGAATGATTCCATTTACACGAAATGTCTAGAATAGGCAGATCCCAAGAGACAAAGTAGATAAGTGTTTGCGTAGGGCTTGGGGGTTTGTTGGGAAGGGAAAAGGGGAGTGAAACCTAAATGATACAGGCTTCTTTTTGGGATGATGAAAATATTTTGGAACTAGAAAGTTCAGGAGTACCAATGTTAGGTTTGGGGCCCCGTCAGGTCTCTAGGCACCTGGGGAACTGTCTGAGAGCTTAGGCCCTTGGATGATAATGACAAATAGTGGTTATGGTTGCACAATCTTGTGAATGTATTAAGAACCTTTAAGAAAGTGCATACACTTAAAAGCGTTATGTAAATTACATCTCAGTAAAGCTTTTAAAAAGAGTCTGATTGGCTCAGGCCTTGTCAGTTGTATAGTTGTGATCCAGTCAGTTTAGCTGGAGAGAAGGGGACTCAAACATGGCTGCTATGGCAGCCACTCTTGGTGGGAGGGGTTAGTTCTTAGAGTAGAAGGATGGGCTGTGGGCTGTGCAGATGCGGTAGGAGGTGGTGTCCAGGAATCTTCACTTCCCTGGGGGTGAAAAAGATCAGCTCCCACCTCCTTCTTTCTGGGCATTGCCAGTAGCTCCTGTAGATGCAGTCTTTTGTGTTCACTGCTGAGCAGCGGATATTCCTGGGCTGTGGCCCTTGCTCCATGAGCTTTGGCTCCCTATCTAGGGACCCAGTGTCCGTGACTTCAAGTCAGCCATGTAACTCTTGGACCTGTCCCTAAGGCATGTGGCTCTGAAGATGGGAGTCTGACTCCACCATAATTAGGCACTGACTATGTGCTTAGATTTCATTGCACTGCTTTCTGAAGGCTTTGCAACCACTTCACAGAGCAGGCACCCTTGCTTTCTGCATTTTAGAAATGAGAAAATAGAGACTTGGAGAGGTTAGGAAACTTGTTCAAGCTCCTCAGCAAGTTAAGTTAGGGAATTAGGATTTGAACCAGGTCTGTACTTTGCTCTGTCTTGGGTGGAGCTGAGTGGTTCTCAGCACCTAATTCCCCACCCTGCTTTCGTGCTCTCTTCCTTATGTGCCTAGGAGTGGAATGTTTTGGTCCAGTCTCCCTGCTCCAGGCCCAGATTTAGAGGGGCCTGTAATGCCTGAATGAGGAAGACTCCTAGAGGGCAAGGACTTACTTAACTGCATTGGTGGCACAGAGCCACACAGGAACATGGAAAGGGGGGTGGTGGCCGTGCCATGCAGGAGAAAGGATTGTGGGTTGGCAGGCCCAGGTTATAGCTCCAGGTTAACAAATGGGTGAATCATTAACTTCTCTGGGTCTCAGTTTCCTCATCTGTAAAATGAGAGGATTGGGCTAGTGAACAACCTGCTCTCTAGCTTTAACATACTGGCTTACGTGCATAGCTGTTGTATTTCTTCCAGAACCTTGGCTGAGATGGTAGGTC